TGCTGACTTTTTACAGTCAATTACAATAACTTGTACTGCGTACTAGCTAGCACGACGGAGTTTCTAAACAGCTGGGTGGGTGCTATGATGTTACTGATAGTGAACTTTATTTTATTCATAAGGTTAGTTAGTAGAGTTGCCAACTGTCCCATAAAAAACGGAATCATCTCGCATTCAGAGAAAATATTATGCGTTTCATATTAATAATAACAATGATAATGGATTGCATTTATATAGCGCTTTTCAAGACCCTCAAAGAGCTTTACAATTCCGCTATTCATTCACTCTCACATTCACACACTGGTGGAGGCAAGCTACAGTTGTAGCCACAGCTGCCCTGGGGCAGACTGATATTGAGCTGAAAAGGAACGCAGTTTGTCCCGTACTTCAGCTACAATGGAAAAAGACACAAGCTGGATTTATTCTGTGTCTTTACGCTGTCAGCTGCCTCTTCTCTCATTCTCTCTCCCCCTCCCTCTCCTGTTGCTACTTTAATCATGAAACTGATCAATGATCAGCTGATCGGCTTTTCTCTCTTTCTTGTTTATCGCTCACTTTGCGCCAGAAAGAGGAAACCAGCAGATGTTGCGCTAAACAACAGCAACATATTTAAGACTGATCAGCTGTTGTTAGAATTTATTTAATATTAATTTCTAGTATCAGCTGATGTTTGTTGGAGCCACAGTCATAAAAGCTGCTGGTCATGATATTGGTTTGGTTATGTGGTGAGAGGGAAACATGAAGATGAAACCAGGAGATGTCCTTACTGAATCATCAGAGCTGAACAGGTGATGGACAAACAGGTTTACCTTTTAGGTGACATGAATGAGTTGAAGGGAAGTTATGAACTGTTTCTGAGAAACAAATAACACCAGGATCCTTTGTAGCTGACAGCTGGTAACTGTGCAGGGGCGGGTCTGGCAAAGTTTTGCCAGGGGGCCAGGTAGGGCATTGTCTAGCTTTTAATAAATATCTGAATCGTACAACCAAAGTTTTCATCTGATTTAAAATGTATAGAAATCATACATATACCAACAAGACAGTGTACATCACTGTCACAACAGTGTTTGTTTTCATTGTTGTGAGGAGACCATAAATAGCATTTGCATTTTTGTTGTACAGTTCATTTGCTGTTATGGATATGCTGTAGGTATTACAGGTACTGCACTGCAGTGCTTTGAATCTATCTATCTATCTAATAGACTCATGTAAATGCAGAGTCCTCTTCACACACTAAGGTTAATTATGGAGTTCTACAGGGTTCCATGTTTGGACCAGTTATGTTTACATTATACTTGCTTCCGTTAGGCAGTCTCAACAGAAGTCATATCATCCATCCATCCATCCATCCATTCGCTTCCGCTTATCCTTTTCAGGGTCGCGGGGGGTGCTGGAGCCTATCCCAGCTGTCATAGGGTGAGAGGCAGGGTACACCCTGGACAGGTCGCCAGTCTGTCGCAGGGCCAACACACAGAGACAGACAACCATTCGCACTCACACCTTTGGGCAATTTAGATTTTTCAATTAACCTATCCCCACAAAGTGCATGTCTTTGGACAGTGGGAGGAAGCCGGAGTACCCGGAGGGAACCCACGCAAACACGGGGAGAACATGCAAACTCCACACAGAAAGACCCCGGCCTGATGGCGGAATTGAACTCAGGACCTTCTTGCTGTGCGGCAACAGTGCTAACCACCGTGCCACAGTGCTAACCACCATCATCATGTCATACATTTTCAGTGTTATGCAGATGACACCCAACTTTATCCATCCTTGAAGATAAAGTTGGTAAAGTGTCAGAGTGACGCTGAAAAACTAGTTCATGCATTTATTACTTTTAGGCTGGACTACTGTAATTTGATATTATCAGGATGTCCTAAAAACTCCTGGAAAGGCGTTTCCCTAAAAACCGTGTGATAAATAGCCAGCCAGTCCAAAATGCTGCAGCAAGAGTACTGATATAGACTATAAAGAGAACATATTTCTTCTATATTGGGTTTCCTTCATTGGCTCCCTGTTAAATCCAAAATTGAATTCAAAATCCTGCTCCTCACATACAAGGTCTTGAACAATCAGGCCCCATCTTATATTAAGATGAGAGGCTGGATCCAGGGCTGGATTTGGGAGACAGATCTCTACAGGTATCTACTTTTAACTTTAGGCTTAAAACTGTCCTTCTTGCAATATACATATATATCTAGCATATAGTTAGCAGTGAATCCTCCCTTAGTTATGTTGCAATAGGTCTAGGCTGCTGGGGGATTCCCATGATGTACTTCTTCTTCAGTCACCTTTCTCAGTCACTATGTGTTTTTACACCTCTCTGCCTTGAATCATTATTTATTATTAATCTGTGACTCTCTCCCACAGCATGTCTTTTGTCCTGTCTTCCTCCCCTCACCACATTGGGATATCTGGTTTGGGCCTCTGGGGCTTTCCAAGCTCCCCTCACCCCAGCCCCAACCCCCTCAGCGCCTGGTCTTTCTGGAGTGTCTGAGTGGGCATTTTTTGTGTGCTTGCTGGCCTGCTCTCTTGGGAGTTGCAGTCTGGGCTGGCTTGGGCCTCTACATCATGTCGTGGGGGTTCCACCAGGGTGCGGGTGGTTCTCAGGGTCTGTGGTCTGTCACCGGCAGGGTCGGTTGCCCACTGCCTCTGGTCCCCCGACACCCCCACCACTGGCTGTTGGAGCTCCGTCCAGGGCCATCCTCGTCCCCCAGGGCATGGTTGCCATTGGGACATGTGGCCTCAGATTTTCAGCTCTTTTGGATGCAGTGTTTGGTTGGGGTCCCCTGGGTCTTTGCCTATCTGCCTCTGACACTAACATTTGTGCATACTAACATAAAGCATCTTTGAGTTCTGGACTAAAGAAGTGACATAATATATAAAGAAAACATTTAAAACATTTAAAAGCATAAAAATATTTGAGGGTCATACAGAAATGAACAGCATTACCATTAGCTGTTACAAGGAGGCAGAGTTTGACTTGGGTTAAGCCACAACTACAAAACACAGCAGCATGCCTTTACAAAATACTGTTCAGTAAGATAACCAGCAACCCAGCAAAGAGTCATTATGCTATAAATGCAGTTGGGCTGTGTGTGATGTCATTGACATGTTGCTGATGTGTACCTGCAGCTCGACTCCATAGCCAGTGTACACAGTCACAGTGTAGGTACAGCGTAGGAAGGTACCGTCTGGAAGAGGAGGGTCATCAGAGGAGTCAATGTATCCTTCTGGATCAGTAAAAATCACCATGCAGCTGGATGCAGCTGGAGGGAAAACACAGGAATTTATATTGCATTGGCCTTTATTTATTTTTTGTTCTATCCTGCCCTGTAATACATTTACTGTGAGCCTGACTGGAAAGTCACTGGAAGCCCTACTGCATATAATTAATGATGGAAGTTACAAGGATCTAAACTGCTACACCAAAGAAAAAGTGGGCAGTGAAGACTCTTAAGCTGTGACTTGATATAAATAATCATGTTCTCTATTCCTCTAAAGATTTTAAAAGGCCTGTGGTGTTACTGATTAAATATCCTGGTTTAAAAGGCATAATGTGACTAATTAACCGATTAACTACAATTTTGTTATTTTGCAGAATAATATTTACAGAAAAACATCGGCAGTTATTAAAATACCAACAATATAAATTGTATGAAGCTGAATTAACATCAAAATAAAAGCTTATAATAATCTTTGTACATTCACTTTAGAAACATTGTCATGGTAACAAGCGCATATGTGCAGAAATCTCAGTTGAGTTTATCAGTACCCTGCTACTTGTTAGCAGGGTATGGAAGCTAATTGGAATACAAATGGTGATTTATTTTCACAAACTCATTTTTAAAATTTCATAGGTGAATTAATTCTGATCTGATGACAGACCCAATTCAGAAGTTGTTATATTTCATCGCATGAAAAATATGAATGGTTATGAAAAGGTAGTTTTAGCAAAACATTCTTAAGGTATTAAAATACAATTTCTTTATTTTAAATTTTGATATGGCAGCTTTAATTAAAGATATGGGTTTAAAAGAAATGAAACTGGTTAAACCAGCAATATGTGAGGTAGAAGTTTTTTGCAAAGTGGAGATGAACAGTAGCTGCTGACAGACTAAAGCGTGTTGTTCCTAGAGTATTTAAAAGTAGAATGGGAGACAGAGCCTTCAGCTTCAAGCCCCTCTTCTGTATAACCAGCTTCTAATTTGGATTTGCCAGACAGACACTGTCTCTACTTTAAAGTTTAGGCTTAAAACTTTCCTTCTTGCTGAAGCATATAGTTAGAGCTTAAAGTTATTGATTTTGAAGCAGGAGCTTCATTCCTGGTCAGCACACTCTTAGTCTGTGGCAATTTAAAACTCATTTCACTCTCTACATTGACACTGGTATTCCAGCAGTTTCTAGTTCATGGCAGGCTTGAGCCTTGGTGGTTCCTGGGTTCTTCCTTAATATCCTAACCAGTTTCTTCCAGACCTTGGCAAAAAAGGTAATAGTCCTGGCTTTGTCAAGGTGAAATACATTGTAGACCCCAACTCAATGATTTAAGTCAATGTATTTATATATTTGAACCTGTATGTATAAACTTTTGACCCTGTGTAGATTAAAGAAAATAAAAACTAAATTCAAACTTGTGCAGCGAAATCTTGTTTTTTTAAGTAATTTAATGTGTATGTTGAACAATTATTCTGGTATAGAAAAAGAATCTTTCAAACAACTTATTAAATGCCCCCAAATTATCATGATAGTCATGATATGATTAGTAGATATAAACCTCTGACCATTGCTGTATGGTGCTTTTTGAGCTAATACTAGGCTGGATTAGTCCAAATTAGAGAACCACGAAAAAATACTTCCTGGGGGAACATAAAAAAGGAAATTTTACATAAAAACATTTGATTGCTATTTGTTTGACTTAATTATGGCAGCGTACTAAAGCCTTTGATAAAGTTGTCATGTACACTGTGTTGCAGGCAGAGGTAGGACCCAAATGCAGGACTCAGACATGAAAGGGATGAACTAAGGTAGGCAGCTTTATTAGCTGTAACAAAAATACTCTTAACACAAAAGAACAAGAATGCAAAATCTAGAAACTAGGAACTGGGAACTAAGTTACAAACAACTAGGAATTAATAACCAGGAAGTTATGAGAAATTAGGGAAAGATGGCACACAAGGAAATACTCAGCAAATCGGGACAACACGACAACGAGCAGCAAAAGACTGAGTACTTAAATACACATACAGGATAACAAGAGGATGGGCAACAGTTGGGAACACAGGAGGAACAGATCAGACATAACAAGACAAGAGAAACAAAACTGAACACAGAATGAGAGAATGTCAAAATAAAAAAGGAAGTACGATAACCAAGGAGACCAAGACTAAGACACGTGGGCTTGATACTGAGACTGGGAAGAAGCAGACATGGGAACATAACTGACTGGGGAGACAAAAAGGGAACACCGAACACGGAGACAAGAATTAAACAAACGTGAAGACAAGGCTGAAAAAACATGGAACGTGGAACATAGGGGAGGGGATCTTAGTACTGACTTTTAAAGCTTTGAATCATGAAGCTCCTGCCTATATTTCTGATCTCTTAGAACGCCACACTCCCTCTCGCAGGCTGAGATCATCTAATCAAAGGCTGTTGGTAGTTCCCCGAACACATTTTAAATCCAGAGGTGATAGATCTTTTAGAGAGGTGGCAAGTAGTGGAATTCTCTCCCTCCATTTCTACATTGCCTAGATTTTATTTATTCTTTTAAACATCATCTTAAGACTCATTTATTTAGACTAGCTTTTAATTAGATTCGTGCTGTATGTTTGATTGTACTGTTTTATGTTTATCTGTTTTATATTATTGTGAAGCACTTTGTGGTTTTTATCATGTGAAGAGTGCTATATAAATCAATAAAGTAAAGTAAAGTAAGGGAGGCATGGAAACAGAACTGAAACACAAGAAATTATATAACACAAAGCAGAAAACAACTAAAAGAACCAGAACAAATAGTGAATTATATAGTGCTTTTCTACTCTATCTGAGCACTCTAAGTGCTTTAGACAACTTGCCTAATTCACCCATTTGCACAAGCACTTTATTTCTGTGCTCTTTCTCTCTAACATTCACACGCAACATGGGGTTAGTATCTTGTCCAAAGGGTACTTGGCATGCAGACTGAAGCAGAAGGGGATTGAATAACCAACCTTCCAATTATTTTGTGACTTGTTTTCCCAGCTGAGCCACAGCCACCCCAATCTTACAGCACCTGGTATTCCCAGGCAATCTCCCATCCAAGTACTATCCAAGCCCAATTTTGCTTAGCTTTCAAGATCAGATGAGATCGGACATGCTCAGAGTGGTATGGCCGTAAGCTGTGTCTAATAAACACTAAATCTTAGAATATTACTTAAACCAGAATCAAAATGTACAAATACATAAACACTGGGTTACAGACCCAGGACCATGACAGGACCATTACTTTCCTGAAACTGATTTGCTCATGCATTAGAGGTGCTTTTGGAATTTCCAGGATACAGCGGGAAGAATAACTACAGCAAGGTAAATCTGGTGTCTCGCTGTCTTTTTTTATTGAAAAAAAAACTAGCCTAACAAATATTTGGTTTAGTTAAAGTTGTTACTATTTTTTAAATACCTGCTGAAGTTGATTCTATCTCTGCGTCAAGGTCTGGCCTCATGCTCACAGTGGTGATCTCAGCCTCCTGCACAGGGGTGTGCCTCTCTGTGTGAGGCATCCGAGAATGTGCATCTGTAGGAAGTGGCTGAGTTGGACTGCTGCCTTGCCCTGATGCTGCAGTTGATGCAGGGGACTTTACCCGCCTCGGTAATCCTCTGCCTTGATGCTCCGGGGTATGATTGATGGAAAGTCCTCTGCCCAAAAGAGGTAGCAGGTTCTGTGGCAGAGCAGAAGGGAGGATGCCCCCTTTCTGGGAAACCAGTTGTCCTTTTTGAGCCAGCACTGATTGTTGCAAACCACCAGTCATGGCACTAGAGTTTTTTTCTTTGGGGCTGCCTTGCTTTGTGCTCCTTGATGGCAATACTGGAGACCTGGCAGAGGGCATTATTGTGGAGACTTCTTTATCTGAAAAGCATGGAAAATAAGGGATTAATCATTTGAACTGGGAAAGCAGTTGAGAAATTCTTTTTATAAAGTGTTGGGAGTATGGCTCTCGGTGGTTCTGTCACTGTTCTGCTGGTCTTATCAGGAGTGGAGTTATCTGGTCGGCACAGCTAGTCCCAGTTAAGCTGTTGCATTCACAACATAATGAGCATGCACACATACACACATGTACACTCTCTCTCTCTCTCTCTCTCTCATTTTCACATCTCAGTGATGACATTCACATAAGGCTTTTCTTAGCCACTTATCCTAATCCTAACCATTAGAAATGAATGCCTCATCCTAACCCTTACCCCTAATCTAAGCATAACCTAATTATAACCCTAAAACCACAACCATATTTTGAGCCTAGAGTAGTATAGAGGCATGTCAATTTTGGGTCCTCACAAAGATGTTTAAACAAGTACACACACACATGTATACATTGTAGTAGACAAGGCAGTTAAGCATGACAGGAGAGAAGGATTAAAATACCATCTCCAGCAGCTTAGTTCAAAAACAGCAAACACCAGCATTTACACATACATCCTCCAACTCCTGCCACTAACACTCTGCAGTCAACCCTCAATAAGCAGCCATACAGTCCAGCCTAAAAAGTGCTCATGATGCAGCCTCAACATGATTTAATAATTTATAGTCATTTACATACTCCTCAAGCAGGAGAAGAACTAACAGAGCACAGCTGCTCTCATTTTTATCACAAGGAAATAAATCAGTGAAAATATCCTCTCTGTGTTGTCAACACTCTGAGAGCTTTCTTCTCATTTTGCCTTTTTCCATCTTGAGACAGAAAATAAATAGTCTTTTTGTAAGAGAAAAAAAAGTTCTAGATGTACCTGCATTATGCTCAACTTGTCACACCATTATCAAGAAATTCATTTAAACTTTCACAGCTTGTGATTACTTAGGCAGCTACACAGCAGTAGCTGTCAATACAAGCACTCACACACACACACACACACACACACACACAACCTCATATTCATATCTTACTGAGGACATCTTACTGATTAAATGCTTTCTCTAGCCATCATCAAAAATGAATGCCTTTATCCTAAACCTCACCATAACCTAATTGTAACCCTGACACTAAAACCACATTTTTAGCCTCAAAAATGCCTTGAAATTTGCGGGGACGGGCATTTTGTCCCCATAGGTGACTGTTATACCCACAAGTATAGTAGCATGCCAATTTTCTGTCCTCACAAAGATGTGTAAACATGTACACAGACATTTAGCTGAATTCTTTGCAGGCAACATTAGTTTGCTAAAGATGCTGAAAACCTTTGCTCCTGATACAGATCTGCTGTATTAGTGTGCTTTTGTTTTTGTTTTTTTCAAGTTCTTTAAGCGATATTTTTAGACAAAATTATGCTTATTATAGTGATCCAGAAGCCAAACATATACAAAAATAGTATCACTTCGTTCTGGAATAAGTCATATTAGACTGCTGTATATACCTGGATCTGGGTCACCTTGGTTGTCAAAAATTAGTGGAAATTACCTGTTACCCCCTAAAAAATCTCTTCTTAGGTTTTCTGCATCCTTTCACAATCTTATAGTTAGTTAGTGACAAAGTATTGTCACTTTATAATCTCAGAATTTATTATCAGTATCATCATTATGTCCAGAGATGCATCTTTTCACCAACTGCAGGATCCCCGTAGGAAGAATATAGACATATTTATTAGATATAACTTTGAACCACCACAGGAGCTCAACCTGTCAAGTCCCATCAGAAGCGGTAATTCACTTAATGATGCAGTGACAAAAAATGATAAGCTTCATCCAGCAGTTTTTAAACACCACAGACCATTAGAAATAGGTTCAATCTTTTCCTGTTAATTGGGGAGGAGGAGGCGCTGTTGGGGTCAGGTGCAGTGTGTGCTGGGCGGCTGCCAGGGGTGGAGAGCCTGGTGGCCCAATCCCCGGCTACCAACACTAGTGACTGGGTCATGGAACGTCACCTCTCTGGTGGGGAAGGAGCCTGAGGTCAAGAGGTACCAGCTAGATACAGTTGGGCTAACCTCAATGTACGCCTAGGGCTCCGGAACTAGTTTCCTGGAGAGGGGCTGGGCTCTGTCTAAGTCCGGGGACTGCCCTCAGTGACAGACGGTGGGTTGAAGTGGGTATTTTAGTATCCCCTCAGATTGCTGTCTGTGCATTGGGGTTTTCCTCGGTGGACGAGAGGGTTTTTCCCTGTGCCTTTGGGTCAGAGAACAGGTCCTGACTGTTGTCTGCGCCTAAGTAAAAAACATCAGTTCAGAGTAACTAGTCTTCTCGGGGTGCTTGAAGGGGCTCCACCTGGGGACTCTGTCATCTTACTAGGTCCAAATGGAACATGTTCAGCACTGCTGAAACTGCTGCACTAAACTTGGGCAGAGAGATGGTTGGTGCCTGTCGTGGTGGTAACCCCCGAACCAGATAGTGGATCCCAGAGGTGAAGGTTAAGTTAGAACCATTAGGTTAAAGATGGTCTCCTGTTGGGCTTGATTAGCCTGCGGGACTCCAGAGGTATCTGATAGGTAATGACAGGCCAAAGGGAATGCGGCTGGGGCAGTGGCTGAAGCAAAAACTCAGGTGTGGGAGGAGTTCGGAGAGGCCGTGGAAAAAGACTTTAGGACTGCCTCGAAGAGATTCTGGCAAACCATCATGTGAGTCAGGAGGGGAAAGCGGTGCTCTACATCCACTGTGTATAGTGTGAGTGGAGTGCTACTGACTTCAACTAAACAAATACTTTGAGGACCTCCTTAATCCCACCCACTGACACATGTTCTATAGAGGAAGCAGAGTCTGGGGACTTGTCTATACCTGGGGGTGAGGCAGTGAAACAATTCCTTGGTGGCAGGGCCCCTGGGGTGGATGAGGTTCACCCTGAGTTTCTGAAGGCTCTGGATGTTTTAGGACTGTCTTGGTTGACATGCCTCTGTTGAGTGGCAATGTTGAGTGGCGATCAGGGGCAATACCTTGTTGATTGGCACACTGGAGTGGAGACTGCAGGGTGTGCTCCAACTATAGAGGGATCACACTCCTCAGCCTCCTCATTTCGTCCAAGTGGGAGGAATTTACTGCCTCAAGTGGAGGAATTTAAGTATCTCTTAGTCTCATTCACGAGTGAAGGGAGAGGGGAGGGGGAGATCAGCAGACAGATTGGTGTTGTGGCTGGAGTAATGTGGACCCTGCACCAGCCCGTTGTGGTGAAGGGAGCTGAGTGTAAAAGCAAAGCTCTCGATTTACCAGTTGATCTATGTCCTCAATAGGGATGAAAATCCCAGTAGTCCAATACCTTGGAATCGTTAGTCTGCCTGCCTATCGATCTCACTTACTGGTTCTTGCCCTCTCGCTATGATCAACTGATTTCAGTTTGTGTGTCAGAGGAGGAAAAGAGTGGTGTGGTTTACAGCGTGGATATGGTACATTACTTTTTTCTATTGCACAAAAGGGTGAGAGCTTGATGGTAAAGTGGAGACTGCTCCAGGACAGAAACTACTGTTAACACAACTTCGACTCTTTTCAAACACCTGCACAGACTAGCTAGCCAAGAATCCAGAGTAATGTTAAAGCTGAGTAAATGCTGACCCCAGTCCAGCACTGTGATAAGTAAGCCGTCATTTGTGGTGAAGCCACCCGCTGCTCCAGCTCAACAGGTAACAAACTGATGAACAGTCAGGTTGCAGCCTCCGTTTCTACCTTCTAAAACTATACATTTCACACCTGAGCCTCAACTCTCGCGGCCCAGTACCAAACGACTCACGGACCGGTACTGGTCCGAGGCCCGGGGGTTGGTACTGCATTAATTTTAACAAATGTTTTTGTGTAATATGTGTAATAACTTTTTTACTTTCGTTTTTTTGAGTTATGACACCGACACTGATCACAACAAAGAGGGGAAATACCTCCAACATTCACAAACATTTGACCACTAAGCATGTAATTATTTTGCATGAATGTAATGTGTTTGATATGCTATTTAGAGATGACTCTCAAAGTGGAGCCATTGAGAATCAATAAGGGAATCAATAAGGAATCGAATATGTAAGTTATATCAATAATGGAATTGGAATCTCACTAGATTACAGCAGCAGATCTGAATTCTCTGATTGATATTTTAGTTGCACCTGATTGTTCATCACTACACACTTTCTTTTGGTTCTATCATTTGGACATGACTGCCATTTCGGCAGCTCATTTTGACCTTTCTGCTGGGTCTTTCATGCACTAGATTTCTGGTGGTTCTACTCCAGTTTAGTGGATGGTCTGCGGGGTGTGTTTACTGTGCAGGAAGTAATTATTTGATCTTCCACTGCATTTGTAAGTTTGCTCATTACATAGAAATTAATAGTCTCTAATTTTATGATAATTTTATTTTAATGGAGAGAGATCAAAGATACAGAAAAAAAGATAGATTAAGATACATATTTGATCTACTTCAACACAGCCAGAATTGTGGTTCCCACAGATTGGCGGTGTGCCCATGTGGCACACATATTATATCCAATTAATACATTTCAGATATTCCTGACTTCAACTGATTATGTGCATAAAGGACACTTGTCCGTAGAATAATTTTTCCATTCCATGTTTTCTATCACCATGGATAAGACCAAAGAGGAGATCAAAGGTCAAAGATGCCAAAGGACATTAGAGACAAGAGACAGCACAAGGCTGGAATGGGTTATAAGACCATCAGCAATAAGCCTGGTGAAAAGGTGACAACTGTTGGTGGAATCATTTGGAAATAGAAGAAATGTAAAATGAACATCAACTGTTCTTGGTCCGGAGCTCCATGCAAGATTTTTCGTGATATGGTGTAACTGGTCATGAAGACATTGGTAGATCAGAATAAAACTACATGGGAGGAACCTGTTAATGACCTGAAGGCAGATGGGACCACAGCCACAAGAATACAATTGGTAACACACTGTCTATCAAGTCCCCTGCTCAAGAAGACAAATGTACAG